TGACGACAAACTATACAATGCCCAGAGAATGATGAAGAGCGGTTTGTATGTCACGATTTTATGTGAGGAAATACATATATACATATATGAGACAGGTTTCAGTAAGGTTCATTATTAAAACACACACACATACACACATACACACACATATATATAATTGTATTTACATCAAGTCTAGTTTAATTCATTATATACGGTTGAAAAAAAAAACTTATTCAAGAGTAATTAATCTAAAACACTGCCAGAACCAGCTAATGAGTGAAGTCTTAAGGAAGTTTTAGAAAGTTAATTTCATATTAAAGATTTCGGTTTGATCGTACAAGCAAAGTGTACAGCTTAACACTCCTACTTTAATGGTTAGAAACGTTTCAGCTCTATAATTTAAATAAAATGAATTCAATTAATATACATAATGTCTTTTAGATAACTCACTACTTCACTATCACCAAAATAAATAAAATTATTTTTATAATGATGTTACAATAGAGTAAACTATGTAGTTCATTTAATGAAAATTTATAACATATTTTAATATGATAAATTAATTTTTGTAATATTGATAACGAATCAAAGAATAGACACTTTAAAATAGATCATATTTACAAGTTTAGTGTCAAATATTTTAAGAATTAAATGGTTATGTAATAAAATGTTAAAGATTTAACAAACTATGGCAAAAGACTTTTGTATCGTCAATAGTACTTAAACAAAACTATATTTGTGAATGGTTACTTTATAACATTATACCTACGTCAAACTTAGGTACTTACCCTATGGGAATATATTTGAAATTCATTTAATTTTATTGTGTAATGTATTAAATTCGAGAGTCAGCTATATTCGTAATAAGAAGTAGTAGGAAATTGAAACTGTATCATAATACTCTTAATATCCTCGAATATTGCATTTTGTCTGCATTTGTTTGCAAAAATTCTATTTGTTATTCGAATTGCTATCCGATCTTTGGAAATAAACAGAATGCAGCGATGAAAATGAATAATGCAGCGCTGAAAGCTATATTTCCGTGTTTGTATTTATACACTGAAAGAATACATGATGTGCTCGGGAATATTCGGACCTAAATATTTCATAGGAAACTATTAGAAGTTTTTTATTAGTTTGAGCTTCATGTTACTTGCTGTATTTGCTTTAACTTTTTTGTCGTGTAACGTAAGATATTCAAAGTTCTATATTACATATAAGAAACCGAATAACCAAAATCCCTACTAATATTATAAATGCGAAAGTAACTCTGTCTGTCTGTCTGTCTGTCTGTCTGTCTGTCTGTCTGCTACGCTTTCACGCCTAAACCACTGAACTGATTTTAATGAAATTCGGTACAGAGATAGAGTTGACCTTGAGAAAGAACATAGGATAGTTTTTATCCCAGACTTTTGAAAGGTTCTCTTGGAAACGCGATATAACCGAACTCCACGCGGCGAAGCTGCGGGCGGAAAGCTAGTTTTCTTTATAATTCAATGAAGTCGCATGTCTATATATTTTGTCACAATTTTTTTCAGTATTACTGGTTTGTATAGAAAGTCTTCGTTTAGAAATAAACCATTTATAACTAAAGATTTTTATCTTGTCACGAACAAAGGAGTAATTAAGGAATTGATTTTATATTATCAAAATATTTTTTAATGAGCTTGTAAACAGAAAATTAATTAATATTCTCGAGGGGAAGTCAGTTCGTTTGTCTACAACAATCAATGTGGAGACTGGAAGAAGAAATTTAAATAAAATAATTATACAAAGATGTCAGAAAAAATCGTAATTGAAAAATTTAAAATTTTGGTGTAATAAAGATAAAGTAAATATTATAAAATTAGTTAATTAGAAAAGACTTGAATTGACAGGCTTTGAGTCTTGCAAGGAGAGTAAAGTTTATTAATTAGGAAAAGATGTTGGCGTTCACGATTAATTAATAAAGAATATTTAATAACATTAAATCTTTTTTTAGTAAGTTAATAATTATATAAATATTATGTTATTAATTAGTAATCAAGTACATACTTGCAACATTAATTCACTCAGTACTTAATGAATTTTTGGAGTGCTCTGAACAAGTTTGGATGCATTTGGTATTTTTTAATATGCCATATAGGTTTTGACCTTAATTGGATTACTACGAAGTAAATGAACTCTCTCTGAATATATATAAATATAGTGTAATTTTCTTGCTGATAATTACTTTGGTTATACATTATAAAAGCCAAAAATTTCATTCACTTCTTTTGTGTATATTTTATTCATACTTTTCAGTTACAGGCCCTTTTTCATGCTTTCACACAAACCACCAATATTTTTTTCTTTCCTCTACCCATTCATCCATTTAAAACTTAGAAATCTTCAATATATTTTTCAAACGCGTTTAGGTTTCTGTAATCCATTGTCGGTTTGTGGCAAAGTGTTTCCTTCGAAAAGAAGAGAAGAATTGAAATATATGTGAAAAAACCTTATTACTTTTACATTTTTGAACGATTATGACCCTTGGAGATCCATTTATCTTTCAAGTGTCGGCTTTTAAAGCTACAAGACCTTAATTCTTCATTTAATGTTGAACATTTTCATGCCAATTTTTTATAAAATATAAAATAATTTATAAAAAATCCTGGCTTTCAAATTCTATTGAGTATGTCGTGACTATTGCTATTTTTATTCATCTTTTTATAACTGTATTTGATTTTTTTTTTATATTTCTTTGTTTTATTGACATACGTTACTAAGACAGAGAGTGGAGTCATTTATTTTGGTGTCTTGTTTAACATTGTATTTAAATTCTACATACGACGACGAAAAATTTCTTTCCATTCCATGGATTCACCGTGCTTGCGCCTGGTCCATGGAATTGCAGGGAGTGGAGCTTCAATAGTGCTAGAGACTTGTGAGTCAGGTATAAGTTTATGAGGCCCTATTTAACGCACGTAATACGCTTACACCCACCGTCCAAATTCCTCTCTTTAATTAAACAAATTTTAAACGAACCTACTGTTGCTGCTTTCGAAGTACGTGCTAAGAATGAATTAATGTTAGTTCTGGACAGGACCAAGTGTTTTAGCAGGTTGAAGAGATATGTATTTAGCTGTTATACCTCATGCTACCATTTCTACAGCGTACAAATTTATTTCGAACCTATTCTTAGTGAGGATTCCAGTTGTTGAAACAAAACATAGTATACTTAGAGTTTAATAATTAAAAGATATTTGTAAATTTATTTCTAGCTAATAAGTAAACTAATAAGAATAACGTATTTTTTATGGATTTAAACATTTTGCTTAAATTAAAATTGATTATAAATTGACTTGCAAACAACGAAAAGTGATTGGGACAAGTTTAACTCGGAGTACAACATCCTGCCTGGAATACAAGATCAAAGTTAGCGACATGCCAAGAAAGGAACAAGGAGAAGATGCTTTTTACATTAGAAAGGCTTGACTGATCTTATTAGTGATATATTGGTAATTAATTTAGGTAATTAATTGGTAATTTCCCGACTTCGTTTTCAATTTCGAGGGATTTTTGGGAGAAAATTGACTAACTTCGTTCCATCATATCTATATAATTATATGTATATATACACATTTTTTATTTTATTTTGCACATTTATCTATCTGTATATATACATATATATGTTACGAACTTAATTATTTATTATAGCACATAATACACATTATATAAGAAAAAAAATTGTTATTTTTTAAGTGCGGAGATTATAATTATTTAAAATATTAAATACGTGATTATTAATATGAAGGAATGCCTTTCTCTTTATCTCGTGCATTTTTTCGGGTGATATAATTGATCTTTTACGTGCACAATAAGGAGTTTGTAGTTCTACATGTAGGATATATATAACAATATTATCCTTGGAAACCAAGTGAAAAGAGCTAAACGGGAAGTCACGAGGGACAGCTATACACTATACTCAGAAACACTACCAGACGGCCATCGTTTATCGATACCAAGATTTCGTTGTATGTACAATTCAGACTTTCACTTTCCGGTTTTTATTTCTGCATGAATGGCTTTAAGCCCTTTTTGTACCCTTGAAAATACATAAGTAAACATGTTAGGTATTGATTTATAAAATTATATATCATTTAAGTCAAAACAAACCGCATAATATACATTTGTATATACTCGTATGTAGAGATTACTCAAATGGAACTAATTTTAGTTTTCGTATAATAAAAAAAAATAACCATTTATAGTAAAATTGAGAACTCTAGTAATGTATTAATTTAAAATACACAGAAAATGGTAAAGAAGCCTTAATAAATAATGTATAACTATAACTATTTTTGTAAGTAGTATTTACAAAGAGACTATAATGAATAAAGCTTAGACACTAGAAAAGGTAATTTTGGTATATTCTGTACAGGGTTTATAGGTAAATGTAAACAAAAATTCAAAATCCTTATTCGGGTATTTTGTTTACAAAATATAGTTATAATAAAAAGTAGTATCAAAAATTTAATATTTTATTTGTTCGATTTCCTATTTTGGTCATGTATGTATGTTACTAACTCTTACGGAATTCTTTCCGCGTTTATGTAAATATTCTTATTAATAGTAAAGAAAAATAGAAATGTTCTTGTAGTTGATATTTTTATTTTTAAGATAAAAAACATTTCTTTAATCTCACGTTAAATCTAACTGGCCGGACATCGGAACTTATAAATATAAATAGACTTTTACTCAACACTTTTTATAATGGTTGACAAATGTGTGAGGACTAATACGAATATAATATTTGTGCCAAAATGATTTCAGATTTTAGTTAAAAATATATTACAAATATATTTCTGGTTGCTATATGCGTCCCTGTATTTATTTCAGTCAGCGAGCATTGTCGTTTTTTATGAGTTGAAGATGCAAAATAGTTTTTATTAAAAAAGTTTCTAGTGGGTGGCATTCCGTACGGCATTTATGTTTTGTGACTAAACTTTACACATTCATACAAGACACATCTAGTGGAATATATAAAAAATACTGACCTATAGTACATTAATAAAACGATGGAGTTTCCCAGTAGGCCGATTAATGCCAGCATTATATAAAGCACTGCCAAGATATAATGCAAATAGGGCTTTGGAGGCGGAAATTGCAGCCAATGAGGGTCGATATAACGAATAAATCCGTCTGTGAAAAGTCCGTATCTATACCAGTCATCAATCGGCCACAGTTTTTTGAATGTAGAAACTGTCACTACTGAATCATCTTCTTCACCCGAAGTAGTGTTCTCATATAAGCTATGACTATTTCCAAAGAAATATTGACTTCTTTTAACTCTCGAACTAATTATCCTCTTTAACTTGTTATATACGCCGCTTATCCTTTTACGTTTTTTCCACATCATTAAATTATAACATCTCCATAAACCCTGCCTGCGATATTTAATGTAATCCAAATGAACTATCTGATTAACACTTTCTTTAACATCACTTTCATTCAATATAAGACCTTGTTTTTTCCCCGTCAGCGTATCACATTCACATTTTAACTCAATCATGAATATTATAACGACTATTTTAGTTACTTTCGACATTTGTAACGTCGTATAAAGTTGTATTACGATCTGTGAACAGAGACCGCGCCGGCCACAACCGTCTGGCAGACGTTTCGATACACAATGTTATTAAACCGCTTAGCTTCAGTTCTCTCACGACAATATGAGCGCGACATTGCGCGATGAATTATTTCATTATTATAAAATGTTTTTTAAATACTAGATAATAATTAATACTAATCATTAATGATTTATTCATATATAATATTTTAGTATTAATGTTCAATTAAAATGATTTATTAAAATAAATGGTACCATATTTGAGTAAGTTGGTTTTTATTAAATAGATATATTGATATACTTTATTTATTTGACATTGGTACGGCAATTTTGTTAAAGTGGAGAAGACAAATGGCTATTCCTACATTATTCATGAGACACTAATCAAAATAAAGTAGAAAAAATCTATAGATACTTTTTATATCTTGATGTTGGGGAATCAAAAAGGCTTGTTTGTAAGAGAGATACTTACTATTAAATTCAAATATTAAAGTAAAATGCGAAGCTATCTAAAATTGTTACGAAAAGAATAAAATAAATTAAAACCCATACTATTAGATATCAATTGATTGGAATATCAAAGTGAAGGGAAGTGAAGTAATTTCAAAAATACTAGCATACAATTTTTATGTCTTATAGCCATTTTGAGTGAGTAGTGGTAATAAAAAGCAAAATTATGTGTTCAGTAAACAACATACTTAAGCGAACGTAAACTTGTTTCCTTATTTTTGTTCCCTTATAATCAGCGGAGTTTTAAACTTTGTCATTTTTTTGATTTTAAATCTATTGAACAAAAATAATGAAACGTTGCTTTATAGGTCTTTTTAGCGTATTTTTTATTAAATCCCAATTGATAATAAGTTTCAAAAAATAACAAGCCTTTTTGAGGAGATTTTATATGGGATCTTACGTGAAATGTAACATACAAATAAACGAGATTAAAATTAAGAACGTATGCGTATTTATATTAAGTTACTTATCTTCTAGGATCAAGCTTGATGTAAGGGTAACTCAAACTTATTTATCATGTTTCATAAAAAAGATTATTTGTGCGGAAAAATATTAAATAATTTATTTACTTTTCTATTATATTTTTAATAACCCTAAATGTGGTACTCATTAAATATTCAGGATGAAACTATTTACGCAACTAGTTTGATCTCTTATGAGAAAACTTATAAAGTCCGCTATTTTGGACCGTTAAAATGAATAAACAGAATACTGTTCAGGTTAAAACTTTTAACATACCTACTTCCTCGTTATTACTTCATCAATTTAATCCATATCATAAAAGTAGTGTTCTTGTTCAAAATACCTGTATTTTTTTATGAAATAAATAAAGTTTTTTAAATTCTTAACCGCTAATTGAGTTGGTTACAACATAGTATATTACGTTTTTTATCGAGGAATTGTATGATAGAAGAAATTATTTTTAGAAATTCAATAGGATTTACTAATTAATTAATTTAGCTAAGATGCTATTTTGCTCACAAAATCAACCTATTTTTTATTGAAATATGGGTCAAATATTGTTTATTGTTATGTTATATATAAAATGTTTGATTTGTAGTTTCATTCATAATAAGTAATTTTTTTTCAGAATTTACCGATTTAGATGTTATCTAAACAGTACTTTTTAAGTTGGGTATTAGGAATTAGGGAGGATTTTCGTAAGTTTTCCTTGTTTTCTTCTCGATACCATTATCAAAATTGGTTCATAAAGGATGAAGTTTTCCGCGAACAAATAATAAAGCACATATAGATATATGTATATTCAATTGAATTAAGTAACTTTCTTTAAGAAGTCATTAAAAATACTTTTAAATGTCAATTCAAATTTAAAGTACTTTCATACATATCTTTATATGCTCTTCCTACTTCGATATTATTATTTTTTTAATTTTTTTGTTACACTAAAAGTGGTTCAAACTCTCAGAAGATCTTTTTCATCAATATTCAATTTATAATATTAAAACAATATAATATATGTATGAAACTAATATTGTTTACAAAGTTCATGAATATTTATTACGGTTTCTAAATTAAATGTGTCGGTTAAATGTAGGAAAATTTTCGTAATTTAGTTATTAATTTTGCTATAACTTAGTGATCTACATAAAACCCAAATAGTGACTAGTCGAGTGTGTCCAGTTTATGTAAAGTGAACGATGAATGAACCTAATAAGTTATTGGCTTTGTAATAAGGTACTTAATGAAATTAATGATTTTCAAACATTCATAAATTTAAAAGCTTTACTAAATGAAACTAAATGAGTACTCGCGATAGTTTGAGATCTTATCAGCTTTATTATAGTTGTTTTACCGCAAACATTTTAAGCATCACGACTCTTAAATAGCATATATTTTACTAACCTTAAATACATAAAGAGCACAATCATATTCCCCCAACAACCGGCTGTAGAGAAGAATATGTAAATAGTGGCTAGAATCTTTTGCATTGTTGCATTTGGCGGTGGGAAACTGAGCCAATGTACGTTTATTAAATTTAAATAGTCGTCAGTGAAGTATCCCATCTCACGCCACTTCGTCACGGGCCATAATTTCTCGAATTTCTCAAGCAGCTCATGCTTCTTATCCAAAGTGCTTTTTAAATTTGACTGATTTTTCGATTCATTTATATCAAGACTCTCGAAGCTTTGATTAGTCTCTTTAATCTGTCTTTTAAGCCTCTGGGAGTATTCTTTCAAATCATAAACCGAATCTGAATCACGAATTATATCACCGGAATTATCTTTGCATAAAATATTAATTAATACAATTGCTGTTGTCGCGTAAATCAACAGAAACCTCATTGCACTGATGTTTTTAAGACGTGTATATGCAAAGGAGAATCACTTGGTTTTGCAAGGACTGATCGGAAGGCATATACCTTCTGATGGTTCTTATGGTTAATCAGGTTAGACTTTTAGTGATATCACCCTGGGGAACGTTTTGTATATAGGTAAATTGGATTAAATGGACTTGCTTTTAGTTCAATCCTCTATAAAGACCGCTAATAGAGGCTAATAAGATAGATTAAAGATTGATGGGCCTTGAAAATCACTTGTGCAATTAATTGAATAACCATTGCATTAGGTATTTTTACCGTAAGATATATATAATTTTACGTATAATTTACAAGATGATTGAATATTTGAAATAACCGTTATACACAAAGATTTAAAATGTTTGACGTTACTAGTAAACCATTATTTTGAACAAAATAATTACAACTATCTTCTTAAAATATGTAATAAATAAAGAGCACTTCTAATTATGTCTTAAATATCATTCTCTAGACAATTTTCGATGAAAATAACGACATTATCAAGTAGGAGGTTTTCATTATTTATTTGTACATAGATCATTACTTTTGCTTTAACGAGTCTGAAACGTCATGAAATATTACTTACATGATTGCTAGACGGTGAGAAATAATATTGCTCCCTGGAGATATGAAAAAAACAGTCATATGAAATGGATGTTAGTAAAAGGTTTGTTTTGACCGGTGATAATACGTGGGCAGCGCGTCGTATAGTGGACTTTCTTTGAATCAGTGAACCCTCAAATCTATTTTAGAAACTCGTAATATGTTTGTCTTTTAATAAAAAGATATATTAAAATAAAAAAAATTTAGAACGCAGTGTACATATGTATTTTTAAATTTAATTTGATACGATTTGTTTCTAATAGTAGATAGACTTTTTACCAAAAATTTTATTATTCTGTTAGATTAAAAACACCAAGAAACGTCTTTAAAGAAATTGTTTTCTTAAAGAGAACGCAGCAATTAGTATGTTCGTTATGATCTTGGTATTGTATTATTTAAAAAGGTATCTTAATTTATTATTTATTCATATTTGGCTATAGTTCAATCAGTATTAACAATACAGTACTTTATACATAATAGTTTTTTATTGTAAGTAGGTTTCAGTTGCCGTTGAAATGAAGTCCTCTTTCGTTTAAAAGTTCTTATCCCTACTAATATTATAAATGCGAAAGTAACTCTGTCTGTCTGTCTGTCTGTCTGTCTGTCTGTCTGTCTGCTACGCTTTCACGCCTAAACCACTGAACTGATTTTAATGAAATTCGGTACAGAGATAGAGTTGACCTTGAGAAAGAACATAGGATAGTTTTTATCCCAGACTTTTGAAAGGTTCTCTTGGAAACGCGATATAACCGAACTCCACGCGGCGAAGCTGCGGGCGGAAAGCTAGTAATTGATAAATGCTTGCTAAAATTGACGGGTCTATAGGTGTAAAATGAGAATTGGAAATGCCATATGTCAGTTTATTATTCCTAAAACAACTTATTTGAATGTAAGTCAAGGCATTATATGAATTTTCTTTATAAAAATAAAATTATAGTATTTGAAAAAAGGTTAACGAAGATATAATTACTTAGTAACAAATATTACTTTTTTAGAAAAGAATATTATTTTTTGTATTAATTAATTATGCCCAAATAATATATAAATTATTTTCATTATTTGAAAACTTTATAGACGATTTTTCTTAAATAAGCAAAAAATTTTGTTTGAAATTTTTATATTTTATTTGAATAATATAGCAACTTTTCACAGAATTGAAAAGAATGAAATCACTAACATCCATTTGCCAAATATAAAAACTTTGTTTCTACTTATTTTAAAATGCTTTTGGGTGATTTAAAACTAAAAATGTTTCGTAGTATGGATAAGATTACGTAAAATAGATTTGACAGTGTTTTTGATTGAATTTTCTTTTCTTTTGTAGAATACGTCAAGTGTAGGTCATTTTATTTATGTAATAAACAATATTTTGTTTTTGATCTTTCGATATTACCTGTCATCATATTAATCTTGTACTTTCTTATTACTTTACCCAACCTTTAATTTACTTGACCTAAAAGTGTAAAAAACTACTTTTAGAAGAATATTACTTTACCATTTTCACTTACAAAATTATTAAATGAGCCGCCGATTAAAAAATAATTGGAAG